AAAAGGAAACGCTCACAAATGAAAAATTTCACAGATTCTCACTAGGATCAGATGGGTTTTAAACGCCCTACACTCTATAGACTTCACTAGTCTGACTTTTCGCGCTAAAGATGACCTGCGGGATCACTGTGGAACCGAGAATCTTGGATACGCACCACTGTATGCACATAGCAGCATATCCCTAGGCATCTATGAAGTTCAGGCTTCAGTCTTTTTCAAGCACAAGCCTGCTGCTAATGGCACCACTTTACTTTGCAAATGATTGCTTCTCTGAACTTTTTATTTAGTAAAAATTAAAACTGAATTTATTTTATAAAACTTGGGTGCGAAACGACTGTTCACTCCTGTGTAATCGATCAATTCTAGACCAAGCGAAAATGCTATCATGAAACGTTGAGTTATACAGTATGAGCTACACAGTTTCGTGTTTTTATTAGGTTAACCACCCATAAGACAGTAGATGGCTTCTTTTCAGCCAATGGACAAAATTCATCAGAAGCCCCCCCCCACGTGGGGGGACACTTTCGATGAGAATAAAAATCAAAATGAGACAAATGGTTAAATGAATAGTGAGCGGCTTTATACCATAATGACATCCTGGTATGCAAAACACAGGATTGATATCACTGCTCGTTCATCTGAACAATCCAAACTGCACTCGTAGACAGTGAGAGATGTTGCATCATCGTGTTAGCCATCCGCAGCGATTATTCGTTTGATTCACTCAAGCGAACCGATAAGTCGCATTGATAAGACAAACAACGTTCTTCCATTTGTTTCGAGCCTGTCAGTCAAAAAGTTCTTGTCTCCTGGTGGATATCTTCCAAAGGACGTTCTGACTTGCCCATATATCGACTGTCAGTTTGAATTATTCACGCTCACATGATTCTTCAATTTTTTTCTGTATTTCTGAAGGAGCAGTGTTATCTTACAAACCAGAACATTTGGCCACCGGTTACCACTTCTTCTATTTGCAGAACATTTTGATTTTACCTCGACGGCATATACTTTTAGTAACACGTTCAGATATAAACTTTGTTAGAGCCTGTCGAACTCAGAGGTAATTTCCCACATCAATCGATAAATACATATATAGGTACCATTGAACAGAATACAATGAGTTTCCTGTCGCATGCGCTTGTTTAATAGCAAGCGATAATTAGTCTACCACAAAATTTCATAATTGCACCGAGGTTGTCCCATTTTCAGATGGTATGAATTAGATGAACTCACCATGCTTCAAAAATATGAGGCAAACCGTCGTCTGATCAATACCTTTGCAAATGTAGGTGTCGAACACGCGTAAAAGCATGGAAGCTGTCCCACAGAAGTAGACAGCGAAACAGGGTAGTACCGGAAATAATTATCACTTAAACTAAGGTGTACAGGGAACTTTCTTTCACCCTTTTATCTTTCAGACGTGCTACCCTAGTTTACAGACAGTTTGGGCTGAAACTACTGCTTCAAATTTTTTTAGCTCTGTCATGAAAAGACGGTTGTAAGTTTCAATCAAAAGGCAATGATGCACCGGACACAGTGGCTTCAGAAAGAACACCGGTTTGCCTCACTATAAGTGTCCATATTGGCGTCAAAACTTTGTATATAGCAACACATTCTGCACCAAATTAACGGCCTGTGTGTTTCTGCAATCTATTTGCAACTAATTTGATTTCTAACATCACAATCCCTAATCACATACCGTCAGTTTACTTGCAGGTGCATCCAGTTTTTTTGTCAAATCTGGGTGCGATTTGACTGCACTGATCTCAACTATCCACATTATTAACGTAGTGGAAACTATAGAGGATTGGAAAGGACTATAGGCCATACATAACATCTAATATGATATGAATCTATTTGCAGATTTCTGCGTGTTCGTCCGTCGATCGTTTTTCCCTGTAATAACATCGACATCAACCACCTACATATTGCTTCATATGTGGCTCCGCATGAGGCGCTTTCTATTTACCTACTGTGAACAGGCGTCCCTTGCATCAGACAAGTTTGACCGGAAGATCTGCTTCAGACGATAGCTAGCCACTGAAAAATTTGGATAGGTGAAGTGGTCGGAGCTAGTGTATTTGTGAATAGATTTCACTATGGAAATGGATGAAGAAGATCAAAATTTTAGTGCACAGGCTGTCTTTTGAATAAGCGAGCTTTTCACTACGTCATCTTCCTCAATTCACAAATATGGTCTGGAATTCGTAATACCGATTACCTATGACTTTCTGAGACTGAAGCCTACATAATGTCATCTATGACTGTCATCTCATTGCATTTTCAAGTTAATATGCATCCGGGCCTGTTAGGATTAGCAGTTACGGGCTGGCCAGAAAACAGCATCTCAGTACAAAAAATGATAACAAAAATACAAAAATATATATATATACATATTGCGCATACATGTGATAAACTGAGAATCAATCCTTTCCTACTTATACACTTGTATTTATTTTTATTCCTATCAAACCCCGAGGATATATCCTGCAACGAATCGACCGCGAACAGGTCATCAAAAAAGATTGTTTCCTTTATTGGTCATTCTGGATAACACGTCACATGTCTAAGTGAGACTGAACAGCCATTCGGTTTATGAATAGCTGCTTGCAGGGGCAAGGGCACACAGAGGCGAGAAAATGGTATACGAATTAACTGGTCAGTGATCACAGCCAGACTAAATAGTTGAACTTGAATAGCTTGTAGACCCGCGCAAGTGTCTTTTGAATGCAGAGGTCTGGATTATGCCTTCGGACTCAGGTAACCCTCGAGGCGGATGGAAATCTGAGGCGCCGCTGTTATGTCCGTATTAGGGATTCCAGGTATAAGACCCAGAATGCATGAGCTTGGCCTGTAAAACAAACGGTGTCTGCTAGATGTGATGTGGTCACATCGAACTGGCTTTCTCCAAACGCCGCTTGATAGGAGTGTATGAAATGATGCAGTTAAAAGCTGATGGTAGACTCCGTTAATTTGTCTTCAGTTATGATTTAGGGTTTGGTCTGAAACTTGAAATTTGACGTGGATTAACAGAAATTAGCGTCAGGCTATTGTTTGTTTAGTCTTCTTGTAGCTCATTCACCAGTAGTCTCTTTCTAATAGGAGTTTCAGATATATACGTTCTCAATCACTTTATCCTAACTTTGCGTCCTATGATCAATGAAACTTTTGGCTCTTGGATCTTCATGAAATGTTTTAAAATATTCATTTTCTCCGAAAACATTCAAATGAACATCCTTTTCGCTCCCGGAGTCAGATTTTTTTTACCAGGCTTTGTCTTTCCTGTAACGGCGAGAAGCCGTGAGCAGGAATGTACTGTCTGCGCACGCTTGCTTCTTGTGGTTTCTGTGGTTTCATCAGACCATCAGAATAGTACTATCAATGGTGTTTGTTTGACCACTGTGTTCTAATTTGAGAGTCACCACTACATTTAAGTGAACTGAGTTGAACGTATTCACCGCTCATGCCACAGAACATGAGAGTACTTTCAAAATATTTTACCGCGTACCTTTGAGCCAGTCACGAAAGCTACTAATTAGGTTGCTACCGCTCGCGGGCGCTATCAAGATCCAGATGCAAAACGCGGATTTTCGTGTCCAAGGCGAAATTTTATCACCTTAAGAGCCATTCAGGTTAAGTGATCCCATCTGATTCTGAGCTCATCGGTACTTATTCATGCATGTATATGCCCAGACATACACGTGATGTCTGACTAATGTCGCGCAAATTTGAATTGTATTCGCCAAGATGAATAATGATTGAAAAAAAGTTTTTCTGGTTCCTCTAAACGTGTGTTCAGTTGAGGCTTCCAATGGGAGTTTCAAACTCATATCTGGGATAAGGTCTGTGATCCAGTGCAAGTGTAACGGGTTACGTGACAGATAACTGATGAACTGTGCCAAACTGCTTTTACAAGCTCTTGGGCGTTTTGAACTGATTTAGTCCTCTTTTGCCAACAAAATTGTGTCATTTTAGGTGCCAAACCGCTTTTACAAGCTCTTGGGCGTTTCGAACTGATTTAGTCTTCTTTTGCCAACAAAATTGTGTCATTTTAGCCAGAAATTCTGACCGTTGCTTCGGAGTACACTTTCCGCTTACAGAATAAGATGTGTAATCGTGCATTCAAGTTGTTTACAACTTGTCTGACAAGGTCAAAACACGGAATACCATCATTTAGCGTCAGAGTTATCCGAGTACAATCACTTTTATAATATATAAAGGGAAAACAAAAAATCTTGATAACTTGTCTTTCAAGGTATCTGAAATCTCCCTTTACTAAGGACCGATTTAGCCGTAAATCGAAGATCATTTATCGGCTGAACTATTCTGCAAATAAACATATCTACCTCTCCATAAGAGCATTCTGTGTAGACTTTAGGCATCCAGTCGTAAGCGGTACCACTATTCAGTGGTAATTGTCCCTAACAAGTCATAATATCATGCTGTTTCTAGCGGCACTTGATATACCACTGTATAACGATGACCGGTGTGTGAATTTAATGCGATAAGCAAATCTCGCCTGACAAAAGAAGCCAAACTTGTGGCAATGGTAAGGAGAAAGCTGGAATTCAAAAAAGCTCAGAAGTTTTTCGACACAACGTTTTTTTGCAGTTTCGAATTTGTCTTGAAGTTTTGATCGCCTTCACTTATCTTTCATGAAGCGTGCTGCCCAGTGTTTCCATCTGACATGCAAAATATTTTGGATATTCCTAAATTTCCTTTAAAGGCGCTCAGATCAAAACCTTTCTGGGGAGAAGTTAATCCTCAGAAAATTAATTAGGGTTCTGTGAAAGAAATAAGAGGTGGCTGGTTAGACATAGTGAACCCACATGAAAATATGGTGGAGAGTGGCCTGCTTTCCGGGGAAGCTCTTTAAGAGGCGTCATGATACACTTATACTCATATTACTGCAAGGGTTCATTGGGCGTTTCTGAAGGATACTAGATCAATTTTATAAAATACCGGCCAAATTATATTTGCTTCTAAATTTATTCCTATAGGACTAGCATACCGGACGTACTCACCAGCCTTGGATGGCAGATCCGGGGCCGGTTTCTATGATTGTGGGGGACCTTTCACAAACGAACGAAACATGTTGCAATCAGACCTGGTTCATCCCACCCTCCTTCAAACTCATCTCTACCCAGTGACAAACGTACTAGATTACTCTCATTCTGACGTAACCAATTTCGAACTGTACGTTCAAGCCAATCAACAGACATCTGATTGCTCCGGTGACTTTCAGTATGTAAAACCAATACAGGTTGTGCGCACTTTACAACCTGCACATACGTCGCAAATTGACAGTGCGATTCGAAATTTCTCACTTTCACTTCCCCGTGGAACGAACGCCTGTGAAGATATCTCTGCCAACGGCACCGAAATGGTTAGTTTTTGCGGCAGCAAATATTCCGGACGAAGGCCTATTCCCACTGTAAGTTTCGTAAACAAATTTTCTCAACGCATTGATGAAACACTGCTTTTCTGCGCGCACTGTAAGATTTTCAGCACACTAGGTTACCCTCACCTTTTCAACAGGGTAGAATTTTTCAAGATCAACAACTTTCCCGAAACTGGGTGATGTTGAAAAGAGCGTACGGATTCCACGCACAAAAAACATTGGGAAAGAAGTGGTTAGTTTTGCGTGCATCAAAATTGCGTGTTTTGATATGATCCGGCGACAAGACGTTTTGGTGGAGGAGTTGACCTAACGTGAAGAAAATAATATTCTTGCAGGGTATCACAACACGATAGAATGCAATAAACACACGGGTTTCACATTGTTTCAAAGCATTACAGCAATAAATGACCACTCTTTATCAGTTGATTGTAGTTGCTTATTGTGGATAACAAAAAACGCCTACATTTTGAAAAAAAAACAGAAATATCAACAATGTTTTCAACCAAAAAACGTAGTTAATAACCTCACCTGACTTAGTTGTACAAATGTCTAGTTTTTTTCCAGCAGGTATTCTTTTTTGGAAACCAACCATCATTAAAGCAAGCCTTAATGGGAGACAACACCACGTGGATAGTAGTGTAAGTGGACTGGGGAATTCGCAATCAAACCATCTGGTTTCCCGAATAGTAATTTATAAAATTGACCGTTTGATCACCAGCGGCTGGTCCGGAGTGTACATAACTCGCAAATAGACGGGATATAGTACCACTCATTCTTCATATACGGAAGCTGCATCCTGTGTTCACATACTGACGCTTTATAGTATGAGGATCTTCCCTAGTTACAACTTCTCGCAATGTCAACTTTTTGCCGGCTTTTGTTGAATATTTATAAAACAATTAATATATACGTATATAATTACATAATAATACATATAATATGTACTATATAATATATATACCATATATCATGTATAATATATAATTTGAGTAAAATAATTGTACATACTCATTGCTGTCTTCATTGCTGTCACATTATTTTGAGGAATCTTATGGTCACGGAATCTGGTCTACTCCTAATGCACAACGATCGACCAAAATTTAGAATGGGATGAAAATAACGGCAGTGCTTTGAGCTTGCATTAGTTCGCCCGAGTTTGACTGGGGAAAAACAGAATCGGGACTAGCAAGATAACATTGGTTTTCCTACTTCTGAGATACTGTAGATCAATCTTGGAAACAATCTGCGAGGAACTTCTAGTAATTCTCGATAGCTTTCACCAACAGTCATTGTTGGTGGATGGGGCTGAGTAATGCTTACGTAGCAAGTGACAAGTCTCCTCAGAAATCTGTATGAAAATCCATAAAAATAATATTTTTCTCAACCGGAGTAAACAAGCAACAAAAGGGGAAAGATGGAAGCGACAGGATCATGCGGTCATCTACATTAGTGAAGTTTCTTCAAGAAGTTCGATTACAAGTTCCGTCTTTTTATCTCACAACTTTTGGCTTGCCTCAAGTGGGTATATAGATACCTTTTCGGCAGACGCTTCTCAGTTCTCGTTCTAGAGCTGCTAACATGTAGGTCGAGAGGTTACTATCGCTAGTGATAAGTGCGGTATACTTTGTGCGATTTCAGTGGCAAGGAAATCAGATTGTATGCTGACCAGCTTAGCACATTCACAGACTTCGACAAATGGGGTGATATGATTTACTTTAAAGTGAAGGATATGTGCAATTCGATACGAACCAGAGACAAAAACCATAGTTATTGTACGCTAAATCCGAAAACGGATAGGTAGTGTATTACAATGGTTGCTCTGCAAACTCGGTATTCATTAATAGGACTGGCCAGGGCTGTTCGGACCCTTGGAAAATTGCTCCGGTGTTTAGGGTCCCTAGGTCAGTAATCTAGCTGCTCTCACCTCCCTGGTCACCAGACTTAGTAAACCGATAACTTTGGAATGCCAACCAGACCTTGTGTTTACGGTCTATTCTATAACTTAATTCAACCACACCCACAGCCAATTAGTCCTTATCTCCCATAATTTGGTCATTTGGGAGGTGTTCCTGCAACCCAGAGGATTATTGTATCGTCTTAGCAGAATTATTGGTTGGTACGTTCAGCTAGACGCATAAATCATGATAAAATTTGTCGATGTCAGTAACCGACATTTATTAACTTTCTGAATCAGTGTAGATACCCACAATTATGACTGACGTTCGGAAGCGGTAAAGTGTTCCCTGAGCGCTAGTGTCAGTAATCCCGTTATGTTTCAATGGCCCAATAAATCCCAAGATGGAAACCTGCGGTTATTTTTTTTCAGATAAATCGTTCACCCCTTTTCCTTCTTAGGTCGCTTTTCGCGTGAATGAATCCAGTGCATTTCTTAGCCTCTAGTTAGTAGATCTCCGCTTTGGAAACAACACATTTAACAACAAATTTCGTCTGCCTGACTGAAATGAAGCTGTGAATATCAGTGTAATGCGAGCGCAAAATTTATCTCATAACTACTGAATACTGACCTATTTAGACTTGTTCGGTCATGGCAATCAAAATACGTATTCAAGTTGTCACGATGAAATGAACGAAAATATCGCCGGAAAAATATTTCTTACTGCCAGTTTGTCTTTGTGCGCGTTATCTTGAGGGAAGTGGGGGTCATTGATTCATGTCACATTGAGCGGGACGACTGTCAGTAATACAACCCAGCAAAATCTTCAAAAAAGTAGTTACCAGGATTTGACCGACCCTTAAAATCCTCGAGTTTGGTCACGGCCGTTTGCGGAATTTGCAGAATATATAATCAAATTGCTATCCTTAGAAGACTCCCGCACCTCCTGGCTCAAATCTCATTTTGAGAGCTACGCTTAAAGAGCTGTTCTTCACAGAGGCTTACAAAACCACAAATTACCAAGAGCCTGTGTCAGAACGATCAGCGAATTTCAGAACTCCCTCCAAGCAAGACGATTATCGCTCCCATACCGTAGCTAACAGTGAACGGATACATTCAAAGTATCATACCATTTACACCAAAACTATGTGAACCTGGAGAAAGTTGATTTGTGAATCAGAGGAACGTAGAGTTGGCTGACCGGTCGATGGTAGGTGTTTTATCGTTTCGCTTATGACTGTGGCAACTTGGTGAGTTTAACGAGCCTATTTCGCCCATAGAACAGGCTGTATTAGCTATGTGCAGAACCTAAACCCAAACCATATTGATCTAACTACATGGAAGCGAAGTTAAATCCCGCACAGTGAACAGTGCAGGAAGTTCGTATTGGCGAAATTCACCTCCTGTACTCCTACTTAGGTACAATTTCCAATGTCAGAATTTTTTTCGGCCAGTCCTACCTCTCAGGTGTCCGTGAGGGAAACAGTACACCGGATATACTAGGTTATGCAATGATAGCGGTACAAGGTGCCTGAATTGGATGTTAAGCATGAAAGTGGTATTTTCTACCTTGGAATATGCGGTGGCTTGCCTGCTTAACTTTATTTTGATCAGATGAAGATACTGCAATGTTTTATTCTCTAACTGAGGGCACTCTACCCTGCAAAGCAGCGCGGCTATCTCATCCTTGTTTGAGATCATTTGCGGGGTGCGCGACAAACCGAACCGCAAGATCATCACATTATTAGGTGACAGACCGAAATTAGGCGAAATTTGTCACCATAAAACACTGATTGTGGTCTGCTTTGTCGGAGAAGCTTTGTGCAGTAAACTGCACGTTCGATGTGGTTCGACAGACAATCTTGAGCTCCTCAAGTTTGCTTCCACGATGCCACTGTTTACCCATTTGCATCATATTTTGTTAGCTGCTTTGTTTAGTTTTACCATTCTAAGAAAAATGCTGAAAAGGGACTCCTGAGAGAGGAAACTGAAGCAATTTAAAAGCACGAAAATTACCCTCCACTGGTCTATACAGTAGCCTGGTAACCTGACCTTCTCAGAAACAGAAGATGGTGAAATCTGGCTAGTCCATGGTCCCAAGCATGAAATGAGTTTACCGTTCACGGCTGTTAATGTTTTGTGTGGAATCCTCACCTTGGTTTTAGATACCATAGTTTTAATGCATCCAGCCACTACAACGCCATACAACTAATATAGTGCTTGGGTTCGAACAATAAACTTAGGGTTACTGCAGCTCTCGCAAATGGTTACTTATGAGGCTTGAATGCAATATCTATGTGTATCAAAAGCAAGCGCCAATGCCAAAGTACAATTTCTGCCAGATATACACAGCCTTTTATGCGAAAACCATAAAGTGTAACGGTTTTCGGTCTGCATTGTTGTATCATCATACGCCTCTACTGAGCAGTCTTCAAAAGACTGTCCGGTAACTCTGTCAAAACGAACCAATAATTCGGAAAGTTTTGAAGGAACACCTGAATGCTGATTATTTTCAACCAAACTATCCTCTTAGGTTTGCAGTTCCTTGCTGTAATCTGAAATCCCGCGCCTACCTACCAATCGTTTATGGTATTTTGAACTAAATGTTTCGCATTCGGAAGCAAAACCGTCGGCCGTACTACTTTAGTCGGCGCACTGTTCGTCACGCAGACCTCTGTCAGTGAAGCTAGCATTTTGTCTAGCAATATATCAGAATGAATAGAGTAACATGTTATCGATACTACTTTTCGATATTTAATATGAACATCTGTTGACATGAATATCAAACAATCGGTTAACCGCGGAAATGACACCACGCTTACGTGTTCCAGAGCCTTCTTGGAGAAACAGTATTTTGTGTAGCTTTACCCATGTAAAACCATGTATAATTGCTAACTCATCGATTAAACTTTGAGGTGCCTTTTCATAGTTTGTTCGCAAGCTCATTGGGACGCTTGTCAGAATGACAATGGCATTTGTCCTCGAATATATGTCAACCTCGCCAGATGGAATGATCATTTAGTTGCAAGGACAGTTGTTCTGTTCGATCAAAACTTATGTCATTACTTTTTACGTGTGTGTTATTCTTAGCATACTGTTGCTCTTCCAGCTATCCTTGAGTTGCTCAGAATACCATGTAGTATAACTACTTGCGGGTTTATAGCATGGCTCTGATTCACAAGCAAGATCTGCCTGAATGAGCAGAGCGCATTAAATCCTCAAAGCACGCTCCCGACGTTAGTTCCTAACGATAGATTTTCCGAAGTTGGATTCAACCTTGGTAATGGTATTCCACAAACCTATATATCTCTCTCTGCAGGAGTAAACTTGTTGGTACGTTGCGTCGTTTTGAAATATCAACATACTCGAACGAAGGGACATCCACAGGAGATAATTGGAAGGCCGGTCGTTGTTCGCTGTCTCGAATATCATGCCACATGCCTTTATAATTCTCAACCAAATAAATGCCGGATCCTTCGCTGATATTTTGTAATCTTAATTTATTACCCAATATTCTCTTAAGCAGTAGACAGACAAATGCTCCGTGAAAGATCCAAGACCTCGCAGTTCCAACTTGACGCTCATTCAAGACCAAAAGAAAAATAAATCACAAGAACCCTCTCAGCAACTAGGCCATAATGCTTAGTTCTTCAGAGAAATTATCTCCTATGTTCCTAGAGGGAAATGAATTTTAATAGTGAATAGCCATTTTCTCTGATCAGTTATTTCTGAAAAACACCATGCAGAATGTCAGAGTATAAGACCAGTAATATAAGTTGCATTATACAGCACTGATTCTCCCGTACGGGAATTAACCGAGAGTTTTTTTTGGATGGATGCGGAGGTAGAACAGGCATTGATTTTGGGGTTCTGCTGCCAAGACACTGCACTGCATGATTCTGAGATGCAGTTAAATAGATTAGGAATTTGGTAGCAGACGAAGAACACACAGTGTATCAGTGAGCAGTGAGACTAGGCGCACAATACACGGCGAAAAGTGTGGGCACACCACAGATGCATCAGTGTAGACTGCTACGTAGCTGACAATTTCGCTAATGTTTAAACCGATTTGTGTAATATCCCGTCTGTTTGGTCCCGGCAAGCAGGTGAATTCGCAGTCAGTTTCCTGCTTATGATACGACAACAGGCTCTGATAAAGGTTGTGAAAAATGCTGCGGAGTTTCTTCACCATCGGTCGCGAAAATCCTGGCCTTATTGACATAGACGACGGTTAACAACAGGCTCTGGTAAAGGTTGTGAAAAATACTGCGGAGTTTCTTCACCATCCTGGCCTTATTGACATAGACGACGGTTTCCGGGACTCCGGTCACTGTTCAAACAACATTCACTGTTGATTTTAATCGCGAAGTCTTCCCTCCGTTCCGCTTGCTAACATGGAGTGAAAACAATCCTAAACTGTCAAGGGTTACTAAAAAGGAAAAAGTGACAAGAATTTCTACCACTCCCAAGCAGTTTTTGATATTTGTTACAGCACTCTCGGCTGTGAACTTCACTTCAGTCCACCGACGAACTCCACCGCTGACTACAAGCAACTCCAAGATGTCAACATTTGACACCGCGACGTAAATTACACTTAGGCACATAAATATCGCAAAAGGTTTTCATATAGGTGTTCTAGAAAAGTTTGAAAGTTGTGCTCGTTGTTGCTACTGTTGTGTGTGCTCCTCATATTTTTGAATAAATTCGACAGGAAATTGCTTGGGGCTGGACACGTCCACCATCCTCCCTATGATCTCTTTTTTTGCTAACAAACACTGAGCTAAACATTCCATCTCTCACGGCCCATTTCTAACTTTTGTTGAGTGAGGTGGATTAAACTTTCATGATGGGCGATTAGATGACACAAAATATGTCACAACTATGACAGGCGTTCTTGTGTGAGAGGCAATAATACAGAAGGTAGGCACTGGATTTTAGAGACGTAACTAATTCACACTTCAAAGTTAATCTACTCACGTACGAACGGATGCTGACTGCTGTTCTCCACTATCTACCAAGTCGTTGATTTGCATAGGAAGTTTATCCTGCGTATCTAATCGACTGATGATTGCGTTGATTGCAACGGCCGATTTTTCTCACGGCACAAGTTATTTGTTTCATCTTGCACATATAACACCACCTTTCAGTGTTTAATGTTCACTGCACCTATATCCAGTCTTGGCAGCTCGTATTGCTGGGGCAGCGCAGCTAGTCAAACTTTCATCAGCTGGAGCACTCACAAGGTCATGTTCGGCTAACGAGGCCAGCTGACTCCTGGTCTGACAGCCTAGTGCTCTGTCACTGAATGCCCCATATACTGGCTCCGGATGAGGTGTGCACATACTACCAAATCAAGCAAAGGTTAACCTCGGCTCATTTACTCAGCCAAGATGTTCTTAAAAGTCAACATGTCGCAACTTTGCATGCTCCCGGTTTTTAAATGGCCCAGACGTCTTCCACACCCATCTAGTGAGAAGAAGCACCAGTGAATTACACTGAGAGCCTAGCAAAACCCTTCAAACCCAGTTGGCTTATGCTGTGCTATGCAACTTAAAATCAGTCCCCTAGGGTTGGTATACGCGGATCAATCCAGTTTCTTGCTACCAAGTTTCCATATTGTAGGAATTTTGGTGAGCGATATCCAGATGAAACACAATGAACTCCAACATAACCAAGATGAGTCAACGTGACTGGTTTCGGTGATAATAAATAAGAATAGTATATTGGGGACGTTACTCCAACAGCATTTTTGGTGGTTGTTTACTATTGATGGGCATCCTAAGATGGGATCTTTCCCCTGAGGCCAGTCATTGATTTTTAGTTATGCATTTGTAGAGGATAATCTGGACTACATGAAACCAAGTGTAAGTTGCTATGAAAGTCTGAAATTGAAAAGGTGTGCATACATAAGAATGTGCGCTTAGAATTTCATCTATTCATTTTATCTAACCCAAACTCTCTGCAGCCAATCTGACATATTTCGCTTTGACCCATTGTCCAGGGGGAATATTTCAGCCCTGTGGCTGGTCCATGGCCCGCTCTACTCAGCGTTGAATCCAACAGCATTCCATCCGCAGATTGCGACTCTGGTCATGGTGACAGCTTGGATATTGTATCCAGCTCCGGACTAACCTATCTGCCCTGCCTATTGACCTCCTCAGCTAATATTCAGGCTGGAACAAAATTATGCTGACTGGACCCCTCGTATACGGTGAAAATCTTCTCCTATTCCTCGCTCGTGAAGCAAGCATAACAAGCTCAAACGCCACATTTTGTCTGTTTATTAGCGAAATTCCTCAATCATTGTAAATTTCCCCTTTTCCTTCGCTCTTTTTTTAAAAGGAGCTCATATCAAAAGCACACAGTATCACCATGGGCGACAAACGTCGTAGTACTGTTGTTTTTAGTTTATTTGCAGAAGAGAATGCTACATACTTGGGAGCAAATGTGAGCAATATCGTTCGATTTTTTGCCTTCGTTTTACAGATATTCCAATAAATGATGTCGGATATTTTAAAATAACCTTTTTGGGTGACATTTAGGATTTTGCAATGTACTACTTATAAAGTTGCCGAAAGTCCGTCGACAGCCCACGACCGGTTTCGCCCTTTTTGGAGCTCATCAGGTAGGCGCAGTCCCCGGGTTTCCGTCAACCTGATGTTCTACTTGAAATCAGATGGCACGAAAATAGCGAATATACACTCATTTGCAAACTAACTTGGTTTCTCGAGAGACTCACCTGGAACCCAGCTGAATCTCTCGCTTGTGATGTTCTCAGGCAGCTGAATGTGCATTTAAGATTGTTTCGGAAACGCAGGAAACAGTTTGGATGGTTAGGTTTGTTGCCTCGTTTTCCGCCTGCCATATATAACAACGGATATGTAAAGTTACATTCTGTACAGCAACCCTAACTGGATACTTGTGTTTGCGCGCTGAGCAAACCCTCAAGTGATACTACTTAGAGTTGGCATTCAACGATGATGAAACCAAATTGGTTCTACGCATACTTTCAAAGCGGGGCTTTTCACCAAAGTGAGATGGTAATGTTGACGCTAAAAAATGGAGAAAACGCCATGTTTCTCTCTTACATTGGGGAAGACAAGAATATGATGTCATTTGTAAATAAGAAAGATCAGCATCTCAGCCGTCGGTTTGCGAATGGAAGCATTCAATCGGGGGACCTAAGTGGTCAGGAGTAGTTTACCTGTCTTTTACCACAAAAATTTTTAACGTTAAATTTATCTCAAAGGAGAGAAGTACCCAAGGAAACCTGGACACCTGCACAGTTTATCCCAATGCTTGTTAATTGGCATTACGTTGCAACCTCAAAAACACATTTCACCTAGTCCATTTTATATGCACATGATTCAAACGATGAAACTGAAATGTAGAAATTATCTGCTGCGCCATGTTTCCCAAGCGATCGATCATGTCGAAGCAGTATGTGGAGCTGCAAAAATGGCGGGCAGACAAAAATCACTCGTGAACTGTTAATTGTTAAGCTCGGCTGGTCGGCGATCTAGACTGGAATGAATTATAGACCTCAAGCATCACGCTGTGACTGATAACATGTGACTGACCAATTCTTTAGACGTCCAATAAAACGATAATTTTGTGTGTTATACACAAGAGCGAATGTACCTCAGTCAAGCCCTAGAAGTACACAGAAAATGATAATCAAACATCTTCATTCTACTGCTTAGACAGAAATGTACTGTCTACTGAGATTCTATCAAAGAAAACTGAGACAATCAATGGGAGTGGGGAAACGTAAGAGGGGAAGTATACCTCGTAAGATAGGTAATTTAGTCAGTTTATAATAACCGTACAGAGAAGAGAATTTGATCTCTCGTCTACGAGTACCCACTTTGATCAAGCTAATTCATAGAATTAAGTAATGAGAGTTAGGCCTCTGAATACTTTTGATTGAAGAGCGACGGCAAAGTTTTTTTCTGCATCATAGAAACGCGAGGTGCGCTCATCTATCAATAGGCTGTTGGAACGTTAGGCTTTAAAAAGGAAGTTACCAGCTAAAGTGACCATCATTTTTAATCGTTTCTGCTGCCGCTGTAGAAAAGACGCATTCTTGGAAACAATTCATTTTGGTTTATTAGCGCAAGTAGAGTAAACCTAGACCGAGTAGTCAGGAAGTACCAAGTCTAATTTTTATGCGGTACGCATAAGTCCTATAAGTTCATTCAAATAATGTACGTAAGTATACTTAAAGAAATCACATATTTCTATCGGTCTACGTTGTTTCACGTGGACTGACGAGTAAGCAACACAAACCGGACCAGCCCTAATGTGAGCACACAACGAGTTAATGATAAGAAATGCGCCTGGAACTATCTTTGGTTGTTGTAAGGATGTTGTAAAAGCCGTTCCACCGCGAATGACACTCCGTGAAACTAGTGGACTCGAATCATATCTGAGATTCAGCAGATTAATATTCGTCAACTCAGGTTGCCCTGAGTGGGCCCAGATGACGATATCATTCGGTTTGACTTCGGTTGAAGATTAGAATAATATCAGTTGAACTGCCTTGCAAATACAGGTGCTTGATGTATCTGATCTATTCTAAGTCATTGTGTTCTTCAGGTGCTCTGCCCAGCCCGTTTTGGGTATTCGTGACATCCGTAAACTAGGTGGAGAACTATCGAGTGATGCGCTGCGATCAACAACCTAGTAAGGAGAGTTTCTTGTATGTGATTAGTTACACCGCCGCCTTCTGCTTCAGCATCCGTAGCCTTATAAGGGTTTATGGGTTTTCTGAACTCTAATACAGCAAAAACTACACTTAACTGGGAGGTAATGATCAGCGCAGCGTTTCGGTCACGCGGTAGGACGTGGTAATTCTCAACTGAACAGCCTAAGGGGGACAGTGATGTCCTCCAAGGTATGACTATCCTAATGATCTTTTTCACCGCAAAATTGAGGTATATTTTTCACAGCTAGTAAGTGCCCGTTCGTATTCTGACCCCAGTATTCTGCGTAAATTTTCATCAGCATGAGCCAAATCGGATTTCCAAAAGTCAAAAAAAAATTCACAACGAATTAACTTAATTACCACATACAGATCGACCTTGCTTTCACACCGATAGGAGTGGAGGACTACCAACTCAGAGTACACCCTGCATCTGAACACGCCATCACGTGTACTCACTGAAAAGATTCTGGTGAAACATTTTATTTAGAAAATTCCGGAACATCTTAACATGGCAAAGCAGATGGAACCGATAATACAGCTACCAGGTGTTAAATGTCGTGTTGCAGCTCACAAAAATTTAAGCTGATTACCCATAGTAAATGGGGGACTGTACATCCAAGATAGTAAAACGGATCCACAAGTCGATAAACCAGTGTTCCTTGATCGAGATCCACTGGTTTCAAAGTACATGATCACTCTACCCGAACCGAAATCCCGGCGAGGAAAAGGGAGCGCACCAGTTTTGAGGTCACCAATCAGGGGACAGGCCGGACAGTAAGCTTATGGGAATACTCACCCCAGACACTAATAATAAGTGCTTGTCACAATCGAAAGAGATTTTGTTACAATATATGTACCACTTTTGATTTTCCACACCAATACCTCCGATTTTGTCAGCAGTTGTACCCCAATACAGCAATTTAATCACAGAATCTTCATCTCAATAGGCTTAGCTCTGTCACAAACAATTAAAATTCCTCGATATCTGACAGCCGTTAACACCAGGCACGAAAATATTTGTGAGCACCGAAAATGGATCTGCTTATTTCTTGGTCTGGAAGCCTAACGTGCAAGTGGCTGACTCATCAATTAAAACTCAAATGCGTTCATTTGCTTATCTAACTAACTCTGCCACAACAGTCATTCGGATGGCCATCACAATGCTCTATCGTCCAACAAATATAAAGCTCGTAGAAATCAAATATTTTAAGTTGTAAGTTAGTGCAACATTCATACAGGAGTATAACAGGTATAAACAGTTCTGGTTACATGACTTCATATTCAACGATAGAATTATATAAAAAAAATAAAATCAGGATCTTCGAAACTAACCAAAATGGGCTCTTGTGAACGCAGAGGTAAAGTTTCAAACAAAATCTCACAATAACCAATAGTAGATTAGTAACTGTCCCTCAGATGTATCATTCATAATACACTTTAAAATCATATCAGTTTAAAATTTGTTTTTTAATCTTTCAAATGAAAACGTACTGCAATGACGGAGTGAAAGGCATGATTTGAACGCAACAGAAAACCATGCTGTCGATTTCATACGGTTCCAAACAGCGCAACGTGTTTCCTGATCTTCCAGTGTAATTTCATTTCCAATTAAAACATTGGTTCAGAGACTCATGTTGGTGGGATGTTTTTTGAAGGGCGTCTCTCACTATGTATTCTGCAATTATTTTGGGCTAACCAGAGGCGGAATTGGCTGCAGGTGATCTGCTCGGTGAGTGACTTTCGAGAAAGGCTCCTCTTCTGTTATTTTGGGCAGACGTTTCTACGTTTGAAATGCCAGGCAGCGTAAGAAACCTTACCAATCCAAACTGAAAATTTCACTCCTATGTCCACAGGCAAGTTATTTAACCTTCATCTTTTAACTATTAATTTCAAAAGCCATGTGGAAGTTCATGTTTAGGAAGACAAGTTGCCTTTTTTCATGGAAGAAGGCATACCTCTACCGTTTTATTTGGAGGCGTTCATAGTTTCTCTCTAGATGGGCCATTCAGCCCTGTTTCGGTTTTCAACCGTAGAATGATGCCCATCTCAGCACAATATTATAAAAGGAGGGAAGAAAAATAGGATTTTGCGTTGTTTCTATTGCTTGGCTTGGTTGTATTTTGTTGCAGCAGCCCCGAATACAAGGGCTATTCGATTCAGATGGTACTCAACAAACTTAATAGATCATATTTCTTCCACCCATCACACGTCGAACTGGTGGCCCGGCGGGCTTGCAAATATTATTGTTTTGAAGCGTGCACTGAACAACCCCTGTTTCTTCAGCTCAATTGTCGGAATATTTGCTCAAGATCCGAGTTAAGAAACAAGTTGGCAGCTGATAAAAAACTTGTACAAAAATTAAACCGCTTTTCTATTAATTACATCACTAATTTCAGGTAGTTTTGGGATATTTAGCTAAATAGTTTCAAGTATTCGGTCGTTTAAAAATGTTTTTTGCAGACATTTACTGCTTACGGAATTGTAGCAAAAGTCTCTCCATTTTTTTTCATTCCTGGACATCCTTGTTGTATTGGTGTCCTTTCGGATGCCTATTCACTCAAATCGATTATCAATTTTTACTTTTATGTGCTGACGACATCCAACATAACTGTTATCAACCAGGAACCAAGACGATTG